GCGAGGAGTTTTGAACGGACTCTGGTCGGGGGTGCCGCGAGGGGTCGGTTTTTTTGTTATAAAAGGTTGGTAGCCGCATGGAAATCATGATGGCCCTGCTCGTACCCGTGCTGCTGAAGGCTTGCGGCCTTGGATTATGAGCACATTGTTTCGAAAGCAGAATCAGAAGTCGAATCGAATCGGAATCGGGATCCATCGAGATCGAATCAAATCGAATCGGTGGAATCGAAATAAGCCCTGCCCTGGTCCTCATCGAAGGGTCGAACAACGACTGCTATAAGCACACTTGCCACATGCTGACCTGAAAAGAGCCCACATAACTGTCTATTGACACAACCCTCTACTGGGAATGAGGCGACCACTGCAATACCATGACGGCTCAGCATTCTACAACAAGAAATTCGGAGCAGGTCCAGAAAATCATCAAGTAGTGGGCCTCCGATAATTAGCAGACGAACACGGACGGTAAGGAAACGTGATACTGGAATGCCAGGCTATGCACGTGGACGTTGGATATCGAAACCTGAGCTGGCCAGGCACGAGCAATCTGCACATGGAGAGAGCAGGGGAGGGGACATGGGGGAGGAGGGGGCAGGGGCAAGAGAGCAGGTGGCATGGGGGGGAGGAACGGGAGCGGCAGCAAGCAGAGGGGATGCACAGGAAGCGGCGGCGAAAGGAGGGGGGGCGGGGGGGGGGGCGGGGCAGAAGAAGAGCAGGGGGAGGGGAACAGGAGGCGGAAATGGGAGCAGAAGAAGCGGAGCTGGTGAGTGAGGGCGCGGATCGACGATCGAGAAGCGCTGGGCGGCGCAGTCGACACGTCCGCCGCGTCCCCCGCGCCCGCGCGGCAGCGCAAGGCGCGGGGTGTATTAGGTAAAAACAAACCTACCTCGCTTTTGACCACCCTCGCTTCCAAGAGATACCAAGCGATGCCAAACTACGGCCTGTACTGGTCAGGCCTCTTGACGAGGAGGCGCGTGGTATGACTTGGTTTTGCCTGGAAGCGAAAGCGGGGTAGGTAATTCACGCTCTGATGGGAGGGAGTTGGCGCCTGGCGCTCCGCCTGGTGCCCAGGCGCTCCTCGGAGAGGGCATCGTCTCTGCCGGCCTGCGTGCCCCCCGGCCGTGCTGCACCACCACTGGCATAACTCTCGTCTCCTCCGCCTCACTCTCCACAGCGTCCTCCAACACTCTTGCTGTACACCCGCCTCTCGTCCTCCGCATACTGCTCCCGCTCCTCGTCCCCGCCCTCGCCCTCCTCGCCATGCCCACCCTCAGACCCGCCCTGTCCCCCACCCTCGTTGCCCTCCTCGTCCTCCGTTTCACCCCTCCTCCTCCTCCTCCTGCTCCTCCTCCTCCTCCTCCTCCTCCACCTCCTCCTCCTCCTCCTCCTCCTCCTCCTCCTCCTCCTCGCGATCGTCATTGCAATCATCATTGTGTCCATTCCCTTCTGATTCCTTCGTGGCTGCCAATCGTGGGACCATGAACGGCCCGCCGAACCCTGGTCACCGTCACAATGTGAGAAGGCAGAGAGAGCAGTCAAGAAAACACCATGAAGATGGGGCAGATGTGAAAGCCTGAACCTCGAGGGCAAGGAATGGAGGGCAGCTTGGCAAGTTTTCTCCGACCTGGTAGGGAGCTCGCGCAGGTGCACAGACATGGAATGGCGTAGTTTCCACGGAGCAAGAACAAACTGCACAAGCATAAACTGTCGACGCTCCGCGCGGATTTCTTGGATCTGCGTTGACCCCGCCCCCCTCCTCCCCGGCACGCGGAGCGCGCCAGGAGCGGCGCCGGAGGCGACGCCAGGGGGGTCAGGAGCAGATCTGGGCAAAGCAGCTCACACCGAACCAATGGCTCCCTCACCGTGCCCGTGAAGTGGACCCCGAGGCCCTGCCCTACCAGACTCTCGCTCCCGCGTGTCGGCCACGCTCGACACTGTGTGAAACACTGCCCGACAAAGACTAGCACCACCACGCTGCTACACCTGGCCGTGGTGGAAAAATCAAAGTCCCAACCGTATGCGTTGGCGCAGGTGCTTGTCAAGGAAGAGGGGAGGGGGAGAGAGAGGAAGCAGAGAGAGGGGGGGGCGGAAGCAAGACAAACAGGCAGACGTGAGCCCCCCGCGGCTGCATATCGCACCAGCAAGCAGAGGGGGACGGACCCAGCAGATGGGAGGAGGAGACACCGGCAAAAAAAGTGCAAGGAGTGGTTGGGCGTTGGCTGTCTGATGCTACTCCAGATCTCGTAATAAAGGGAGGGGGGTCTCATTTCGGGGGGGGTCTCTTCCAGGCTATCCTGGAGGGCCTGGGGGGGTCTGGGGACGATGTTTTGGAGGGTTCTCCCACGGGGGAGGTCTGAAATGGCTTGTCTTGGAGGGTCCAGACCCCCTCCCTTTTATTACCAAATCTGGAGTACCTATCAGCCCCCGAAGCCCAGCGCGCACCAGAGGAGGCTCTGAGGCGCCTCGGCGGCCGGGCGGACCACAGGAGGCCTGGCCGGAGGGCTGCCGCTGGAGCCCCGGGCTCCCCATGCACGGCTTCGGCCCGAGCCTCCAAACAAGCCTGGGCGGTTTGGGTTGCTGCCGGAGGCTGCCTCTAGAGGAACGCCAAGGGGGGTCCAGGGCCACCCCGCTCCGAACGTTAAAAGGTTTATTTTTCGACCACGCCTGGGGCTTGGCCTGGCTGGGTTGCCTGGGTGCTGGGGGCCGGCGGAAGCACGTGCATGGTATATGTGGGGGGGACAGAGGAAGGAAAGACAGAGGACAGAGGAAGGAAGGGCAGGAGGGAGCGGAGGGCAGGGGAGAGGACAGAGGACAGGGGAGGGGAGGGGGAGGACAGAGGAAGGAAGGGGAGGAAGCCGACTGCGCGCTCCGGCTGGGCGCTCGAGGCCTCCACAGCCGTGAACCAGCCCGCGGGCTCGGATCAAACGAAGGGCACCACGATTGGGAGAAAGAAAAACGAGGCGGAGCAGGGCGGAGGACGGAGGGAGGAAGGAGGGGAGGGCGAAAGCGCGCTCTGGCCGAGCGCTCGGGGCCTCCACAGCCGTGGCTCTGCCCGCGGGCTCGGGTCCGGCGATCGGCGCCGCGATTCAGAGGAAGAGGGGCGAGGCGGCAGAAGGAGGCGAAGGGAGGAGGGAGAGGAGGGCGAGTGCACGCTCCAGTCGAGCGCTCGAGGCACCTCCACGGCCCTGCAGAGATCCGATCGGACCTGCGGCACGGCCCAGGAAGACGGCATCACGATTCGGGGGAGGAGGAGGAGGAGGAGGAGGAGGAGGAGGAGGAGGAGGAGGAGGAGGAGGAGGAGGAGGGAAGGAGGAGGGGAGGGAGGAGGAGGAGGGAGGAGAGTAGGAGGCGGAAGAACGAGACGAGGGGGGGGGAAAGTGAATTCCGCCTTGGCAGCTAGGCTCGTGCTCGTAGTAAAAACTATATCTTAAACGTACAAAGAGTTGTAAAGAGGGAACAAAACACAACGCTGCCAGACGGCCCCTGCCGGCGTGGCGCAAAGTCGTCCCCAGCGGATCGCGCACGCTGGGCGGCCTGCGGACGGAGGGCCCTGCCAAATCTCACACATCGTCCAACCGGCCTGTGCTGGTCGACGCGGTGACCCCGAGCGGACGCAAGGAGGGCTGGGGAAGAAGACCCTGACCTTCCAGGAGGGCTAAAAAATAGCACCCGACGTAAAAACCTATCCCAGAGCTAGTTTACGTCTTGGTTTTAGGCTGTTTCGTCTCGTTTTTTAGGTTTTTAGGTTTCCAGTGCTAAAAAATAGCTCTGGTCAGGGGAGGGAGGGAGAGAAGGGGGGGGGGCGACTGGCAACAAGCTCGCGAATGCAAAAGAAACGAATGCAGCACTGCCTGGCGCTCTCACTGCTCGCCCGCCGCCGCCTGCGCGCGCACCTCCCGCAGCACCTGGACGAGGAACTGTTGGGCCCGCCGCGGGCCGCCGCGGCGATGTCGGAGGATGCTGTGCGTCTGGCAGGCCGCGGCCAGGAGCGTCGCCAGCTGCGCGAGGCGTCCCTTACGGCACCCTGTCTCCCGCAGCAGGGCGGCCCGCGCGCGCCCGCCCTGAGGTTCCCGGGTCCTGGGAGGAGGAGGGGGGGGAGGAGGAGGAGGAGGAGGAGGAGGAGGAGGAAGGAGGAGGTAAGGAGGAGAGGAAGGGAGGGAGGAGGATGAGGCGTAGGAGGGAGGAAGGAAAAGAGGAGGAGGAGGAGGAAGGTAGGGCAGAGAGGATGAGGGTGAGAGGAAGGAGGGCAGGGAGGTAAAGGGGAAGCAAGCGGCAGGGAAGGTGGGGTGAGTAGAAGGAAGGGGAGGGGGGGCAAGAGGGAAGGGAGAGGGTCAGGGGTTGAGGATAAGTGAGGACGGGAAAGGAGAGGGGATAGGGTAGGCGGGATGAGGAGTTAGCAATCGAACATGGCGGGAGCCGAACTCCCTCAGGACTGGCTGGTGCAGCGCACGGCAGTGACGGAGGCAATCCTCGCATCCGCGGCGCCCCCGCCGGGACGGGGCAATTGGCGCGCCCGCCAAAATGGGAGCCCGAACGGCCGAAGCCGTGCACCTGCCCGATACAGGACGGGTGCGAGAGCGGCCGCGCGGGTGTGTAGTGGCTGAGGCCCTCAATTCTTCATTCTTACTCTTGGGACTAAGACCCCCCCCCCCCAAAAAAATAATTAAAAAAAAATACAAAAAAAGCGTCATCAATCATACTTCAAAAAAAAGGTACCAAAACAAAGAAATAATTAATCAAAAACAAACAACAAAATCCAATTCTAAGTTTGCCCCTCTTGCATACATCCAGATTTCGTGTTAATAAAGAGGAGGGGGGTCTCATTTCGGGGAGGGGGTCTCCTCTTTCCCACCAGGCAAATCTTCTTGGAGGCCCCTGGGTGGGGGGTCTGGGGACGAAAGTTTTGAAGGTTTCTCCCACTGGGGAGGTCTGAAAAGGCGGGGAGGTCTGAAATGGCTTGTCTTGGAGGGTCCAGACCCCCTCCCTTTTATTACCAAATCTGGAGTACCATCGCCCGCCGGCCCTCCAAGGGACCCGGGCCCCACTGTTGATGCTTCCGCCGAAGATCCCACTGGCCTGAGCGGACCCACCGACGCTGCCAGAGAAGCTGCGCAGTTGCTGATTGAAGCTCCTTACGAGCTTGTCGCCAACGCCCTGAAGTGTCTGGCCGGGGGGTAGACCCCAGAGAGGCTTCAACAGCAGTCTGGGCTGTGATACCATCTCGCGCGGGAGCGTCTTGGACCTACTGCAGCCGCTGCGCCGGGCCGTGGCGAAACCATGCATGCCACCGCCACTCGACGTCCCAAGCGTCGAGGTGGCAGCCTGCCGGCCGCGCAAGAGGTGACGCGGCACCTGCAACCGCGGGCGGGCGCAGCTGCTGACCGCGATCGCCTTCGACGGTCGCTGCTCGGAGTTGGGCTGCTGGGCCTGCCGTCGTCAGCGAGTGCATCTGCATCGGCATGGCATGCCCAACTCGTCCTGCATGCAGTGCGCAATCGAGCTCGGCAGCCACCCGGCCGGGCCTGGAAAAAAGCATTGGATGGCCAATTTTCCTTCTGAGGCTGGCCAATCCTGGAAGCAGCCCTGGAGTTGCGCAGCCTACGTCAGTTTAGGGAGAACGCGCGTGTTGTAGGCCAGCACTGTGAGGCCCATCCCCAGCTCTTGCTCCGCCCAGGCAACCGCGGCCTCTTTGAACTTCTTTACCGGCGTCACCCAAGCGTCTCCGCCTGCCAGAGGGCCAACCTTAAAGGGAAATTAGGACACACAAATAAATACACACAAATAAAAATAGTCCCCATATTTTCCCATATTTTCTGGGTTTCTGTCTTCCCCCCCACTTCCCATATTTTCCCATATTTTCCTGGGAATCGAGGATTAATTGTGTCTGTGTGTTTTTTCCCCTCCTGAAGGTATACGAGCCGCGCTGTGCGACACCCGCATGCTGCCCCGCTCCGGCACGTGCGGGCCCCACTCCCGCATGGCAGCGTCCAGGCGCCAGTCCCAGGTTGGGATGACCACCGACTTCTGTCAGGGGGACGTAAGACCTGGGTACAGGGGACTCGGAAATCCCCGACGAGGTCGTCAAAAAAATGACGAGGCCGAGCCTGCATTTTGACGAGGCCTCCCGCTGCAGACATCCCACGAAACTCCTCCTCGTCGAAATCCGAGGCGCGGTCGTCAAAAAAAGATGGCGAACCCGAGTCCTGGCAAACCCGGGTCTTACGTTCCCCCGATTCTGTACACGCCGTTCATGTCTAACCGTGCTCCTTTCCAACTGTGCTCGCTTCTGCTTGTGCCTGGGCCCCCCCAGTGGCCAGGAAGAGGCCCAGGATGGACCAAGCAGAAATGAAAGGATCTTGGCCCCAAACAAATCAGGGAAATCTCGAAGAATCCAAAATGAGCAATGTGTACACCCTGCGAAATGCTTAGGAAATCATGGGTTAAGAAATTCATAGTCTCAGAAATTGAATCTAACCCAGAACTTCTATCGAAATCTTGGGATCTACATTGAAAAAGTAAGAATAATCGAGACTCTGGACGAAGACTTAAGTTTTCTGAAGCATCGCCTAAGGTGTAGGTTGAGGTGGAGCCCTGAAGCCCTCGTCAGCAAGTCGAAAAATGCCGCTCGACGGCGCGCCATCGGACGGGGCCGCCCTCCGCCGCCAGCGCAATATCGTTAGCATAACTACGCTCTGTAGGCAGCGCGCCCGCCAAGCAGCGCAAACGCCCGATTGGGAGCTTTAGCGGCCAGTTGGGCGTGGCTTAATGGGGGGGGGTCACAAATGGGGGGGTCAGAAAAGGTCCCCTTTCATGCCCCTTTCGGGCCCCTCCAGAGCCCCAGGGGGCTCGTTTAGGTACCGTTTGGGTACCTTTTCGGACCACCCTCGCCGCCCCCCCATTTATGACCCCCCCATTACGCAGCGCCCAAGCCAGAACATATGAACAGGCCCCGGGACACACAAATAAATATACACAAACGAAAAGACCCCCAGTAGTTGTCCATACTTTCTGGGTTGTGGTTTTCCCCCCCACTTCCCATAGTTTCCCATATTTTCGGGGAAATCGACGATTACTTACGTCTGTGTGTGTTTTCCCCCTCCTGAACATATAGGAGCGGACTCAGTGGGCATCCTTGCCGGATCCTATTGAAAATGCGGAAGCCGCCCCGCCGCTCCCCGTGCATCGTCAAGCAGCAGCATTGATCTGCATAGAGCGCCCGGATCGCAGTCCGCAGCGGCAGTGGAAGCCTGCACAACTCCAGCATTTTGTGCAGAAAGTCGTGCTCGATCGACGGGAAGGCGGCTCTCATGTCACAGAACCACGCCGTGGGCCGGGACCAACCGAGGACAGCCTCCTGCATGATGGCCCCGAGCTCGACTATGTTGGCGAGGATGGACCTGCCGTGCAAGAAGCCCCGCTGACAGTCGTTGACCAGCTCTTCCACCGCTGGCTCGATCTTCAGTCGGGGCGACCTGGCCAGAGTGCGGTTGGAGGTGTCTACTAACATCAGCGGTCTAGTGTCCTCTGGTTGGTAAACTTGGCCCATCTCAGGGTCGACGCGGACAGGCTTCTTCGTGAGCGGAACCAGCAGGCTCGCATTGAAGTCACAACGGTCGAAGCAATCGTCAAAGGAACCAAATTCTTCTGCGAGCCGATCTGCCGATCCATCCACCATGAGCGCTATGAGGCAACCGTGGAGCACCGTGCGACCCGCCTCACCGATGCCTTTCCACAGGGAGTAAAAAGATACCGTCGGGACCTGGGGCTGACGAGCCCGACGAGCAAACCGCCTTCCTCACGTCCTCCACCGTAATGTCCCAATCCTGGGAGAGCTCAGCGAGCTGCGGCAACCTGCTGTCCACGCGGCTAGGTCCACGGTGCGGTCGATTCTGAAGGGGCCCCGGGACACACAAATAAATAGACACAAATGACAAGATTCCCCATATTTCCCATTTTCTCTGGGTCTCTGTCTTCCCCCCGCTTCCCATATGTTCCAATTTTTCCTTGGAGTCGACGATCACATGTGCGTGTGTGAGATTCCTTTCAGCTGGAAGGCCTGGCTTTAGGTCGGGCCTGTCCCCCTACAGGGGGATTTTCGATGAAGAATAAAAAAATACCCCCCAAATGCCCCAAAAAGGTCAGAAAATACTCGAAAATAATCCCCAAACTACTTTTGGACGATTTCTGGAGTATTCCTGGTGTATTTTGTTTTTTTCGTCGAAAATCCCCCTGTAGGGGGACACGCCCGACTAAAGCCTGGCTCCAGAGGTGGACCAGCGTCGAGGCCACGAGCTGCCGGCCAGACCGTGGCCTGGCCGCCGGCGAGCTCCACCGCCTTGCTGTGGACCCCTCCGCTCGAGGGGCGCAACAGCCGCGGCGTGGCCAGCCCTCGCTGCCGCAGCCCACAAGGAGGAAAGACTGGTCTACTCTGTAAGAACGGTTTTTTGAAGGCAGATCTGCCTTCAAAAAGGAAAGACTGGTCTACTCTGTAAGAACGGTTTTTTGAAGGCAGATCTGCCTTCAAAAAACCGTTTTTACAGAGTGGACGATGCCTGCGGGATCCCCGAGGCGCTGAGCAGCCCGCGACTGCTCCAGCTCCTGTCGCAGGGGAACAAACCATGACATAAACGTAAAAACTCGGAGGTCCGCGCGGATTTCTCGGATCGGCGCTGGGGCACCCTGGCGGCGCCTCCGGCGCCACCCCTGGCGCGCTCCGCGCGCCAGGGAGGGGGGTCGAGCGCCGATCCGAGAAATCCGCGCGGACCTCCGAGTTTTTATGTTTATGTCATTGTTTGTTCCCCTATGTCGTGCCTGTCTGACGGCAAGGTCAAGGGCATGGTCGCGAAGCCATTGCAGCGCGGCGGAACGCTGCCAGCCAACGACGTGGCGAAGGGCTGGGCAGGCAGCCTGGGCGTTGCTCACAAGGTGCCAATGGCCCGACTGCCAGTGCCAGAGGCGTCGCATCGTCCAGGTCAGCTGGGCATCCACCTCGTCATTCTCCACGGTGCGGGGTGGGCTCTGCCGGAGCCCCACGGCTGCCTCGACCATGGCCTCCTTGAGAAGCCGGAGCCGACCTGTTGCTCAGCCTGCGGCCACGCCTCCCGACGCCTCCCGACGTCAATCTGTCAGTAGAGATGAGCTGGGCACGGGCCTGCCACGCCGGGTCACGGCCGAGCTCTGGCGGGAGCCGCTGCCCTGCCGCGGGTCACACGACATCCTGCCTACCTACACGGTGCGCCGTGACGGCCCGATGAGTCGATGCGGCGACAGTTTATGCTCATGCATTTGTTTTCGGCTTCGGTTCCAACAGAGGGGATCGGCAACTGGTGGATATTCCAGCTGATGGGGACTCGTGCGGGCGCACAGACCCGAAACGGCGTAGCCTCCAACAGAGGGGGCTCGGCAACTGGTGGATATTCAAACTGCAAGTAACAGCCGCGCGCCAGGCTGCCAGAGGCGTGAGCCCAAGGGAGGTGACAGAAGGCGGCCGAGGTCGGGGAGCTCGCCAAGCAGCGCGCAACACGGACAAGCGAAGCGGAGAGGGAAGAGGCTCTGGAAAGAGGGCTGGGTGCCACCTTTTTTCCAGACCCTCTTCCCTCTCCGCTTCGCTTGTCCGCTTCGCTTCCCTTCTCACAGCTTCCCTAATGAACCCCTCCCCCACGACCAGCCGCGGTGAGGGGGAGCTGGACAGGTCATCAAGACCGAGAGCGAGCGAGCTCTGGAAAGAGGACGCCAGCAGGACGAACATGGAGAGGCATGCAGTCTGCCCTGCGTGGCTGGCCGTGGAATGGCCTGACGCGCGACAGGCGACAGCGGCGGCTGTGCGTGTGCGTGTGCGTGTGCGTGTGCGTGTGCGTGTGCGTGTGCGTGCGCGTGCGCGTGCGCGTGCGTGTGCGTGCGCGTGCGCGTGCGCGTGCGCGTGCGCGTGCGCGTGCGCGTGCGCGTGCGCGTGCGCGTGCGCGTGCGCGTGCGCGTGCGCGTGCGCGTGCGCGTGCGCGTGCGCGTGCGCGTGCGCGTGCGCGTGCGGGTGCGCGTGCGCGTGCGCGTGCGCGTGCGCGTGCGCGTGCGCGTGCGCGTGCGTGTGCGTGTGCGTGTGCGTGCGCGTGTGCGTGTGCGTGTGCGTGTGCGTGCGTGCGTTGTGTGTGGTGTTGTGTGCGTGCGTGCGTGCGTGCGTGCGTGCGTTGTGTGTGGTGTTGTGTGTGTGTGTGTGGGTGTGTGGGTGCGTGGGTGCGTGCGTGCGTGCGTGCGTGCGTGCGTGCGTGCGTGCGTGCGTGCGTGCGTGCGTGCGTGCGTGCGTGCGCGGGTGCTTGCCGCGTCGCGTGCGCGTGCGCGTGCGCGTGCGCGTGCGCGTGCGCTGCGCGTGCGCTGCGCGTGCGCGGTGTGTGTGGTGTGTGTGTGTGTGGCGTGCGTTCGTGCGTGCGTGCGTGCGTGTGTGTTGTGTGTGTTGTATTTGTGTTGTGTGTGTGTGTGTGTGTGTGTGGGGGGGGGGGGGGCGTGGGCGTGGGCGTGAGCGTGGGCGTGGGCGTGGGCGTGGGCGTGGGCGTGGGCTGGGCTGCTGCAGGAGCTCGGCCAGCAGTGGAGGCTCCTCTGCGGCAGCAGAAGCGGACACGTGTTTGAAAAGCATGTCGAGCTCCGGCTCGCCCGGGTCGAATTCGTCTCGGAGGGGGTCCTCTTGCCATCGCTCGGACGTTCACTCCCCGTGCATGTGTTGATTTCGTGCGTTTGTTTTTTCGCAAGATGACCCAAGATGCTCCTCGAGGGTCCTCGCCGAGGAAGACACAGAATGCACACGTCCGAGGGACGCCAAGGGGTGCCAGACCGACATGGCCGTGGGGCTGCAGCTGAGCTGGCTCCAAGAGTCCCAGCTATGGCTGGCATTCGCTCGCTCGTACAGTCAGTCACTCCTAGGCCAGAAAAACATCCCTCAAGAACACGAGAACCTCCGCCGACCAAAACAACCAGAACACCCAAGGGTGCCCTCCCCAGGGTGCACAATAATATCCAACAGACACGAAGAACACCAGGGTACCCTCCCCGAGCCGACCTCGATCTTATTCCTCGGTCCGACTGTATTGCTGCATTCGGCTGAACTGGATTCGCTGCTCTCCGCTGCCACCGCACTCCTCGGACCTCCATCGGATGCGGCCGCCTCGAGACACCTGTTGTCCGCCTACCTACGCGCGCCGCTGCTCGTGGTCCAGGCCAGGGACGCCGCGGAGAGGTCAGGAGGCCGCCGACGTGTCCGCGGCTGGCGGCGTGCTGAGCTTCGACTTCGGTGCAAGTCCAGGCTGGTGAAGGGTTAAAGGAGGGTTTCAAAAGGAAACGAGAAGAGGAGAGAGGAAGAGGATGAGAGAGAGAAGCGGGGGTTGGCGCGGAGCTGGAAGAAGAGCGATTCGTGTCCCACCCCCTCGGAAGAAAGCTGGGCAGTGAAAAACTAGGGCACGCAGGAGCCCGTTATGCCTCCGAGCCCCCCCCCCGCGGGCCCATCAAGAAGGTGCCGAGCGCACCTTGGACTGCGGGCTGCTCTGAGCCCTCCACACCCCTCCATGCTCCGCCCGCCTCGTACCCCCCTCCGTCGACGTCCATCGGCCCTCCTCCCACATCCAAGACGAGGCTAACGGCGATGTTGCTCAACGGCGATGCTGGGAACTACCGTGCAGGAAATCACGAGCCACCCCTTCCTGCATTTCCTATATGCGAGTGGACCGACCGAACACGACACAGCGAATTGTAGGAAAGCGCGAGCCATGCTTTCCCACGAAAATATCAAAACCTACATCGCCGTTAGCTATTGGGGGCGCGCAAACATGGATTAGCGATCCGTGGATTTGGCGCGCGGTCGCCGAATCCATGGATCGGGGGAGGTGCCCTCCCCAAAATGCGGCCGGTGCCGCCTCGTTCGGCGGCGGAAATCCGCGATTTCCCATGGAAACGGGACCCGTCGCTATTCCACGCCCCCTTGATCCATGTTTGCGATCGCCTGAAGCTACATCGCCGTTAGCTACGGCACATGTCCATCCTCCGTCCGCCCCCCTGTGACCTCTCCCCTGCGCCCGGCGGTCCTCCCTGCCTCCCCATCCCTCCTCGTCTCCTGGGGCGTCTTCGGGACCCAGATCTGCTGGGACACCCGTCGACGGACAGGGAACACAGCCAGCGCAAGGGGAAGGGGATGGGCGGGAGGGGTACGATGTCAGATATGCCCAGGACTCGGACGTCGCCTATCTTTTGCTCACCGCGTGGACCCCACCGAA